CGCTACATGAAGCAAATAATTGAAGCCAAATCTTACACCGAGACACGCGTGTTTAGTGTTTCAAGATTCTCTCGCGGAGTGAAAATTGATTGAACTACACACGCGTGTCTGGGTGTAAAATTTGGCTTCAAAAAATTACTACTGTTTTCTATTACAGGTAACGTTCCATGTACTTTAGTTCAATGGAGTGGATACACAATTGAAATGGATGAGTGAATGAGGAATGAAGGTGGATAGACGTGAACACATGAAATGAATATTATTCCATGGAACTGGACAGTCGTGTATGTAAGTTGACTTTTTGCGATATAACGTGTGTTTATGGCAATCATAGACAATAAGACCAAAATAACGACATATTATAAACTACGTGTTTTGAACCGTGGTCGATTACGGGAGAATAATGGACCGGCAAAATGTTTCTGAGCCAGTCAAAGCGCGCCATTTAGCCGGAAGTGACGCTTGCCATATAATAAGAGCACAATAATGACAGTTTTCTAACCTCCTGCCAATCTATCTGTCTGTCTGGTAGTTTCATCTTGTCGAAAATTCGAAACACGACTTTAAACACATCACGCCACCAATGTTGGAGAAACGTGTTCCCGTATGTTTTCATGATTTCAAACATCACGGTTAGGCCTCTAGTTGATGGATGGAAAATAGCTCACATTCAAGTTATACAAAACATACTAATCTATACAGTACATACAACTCAATATTTCCACCATACCTTGTTCTGACATCTAGTTTACATCGGTTGATGATACACGAAAGCTCAAAAAGGACTGGAAACCAGCCTTTCACCCAGATTCTGTCCTGCTCTGATATCCCAGCATCGTCTACTCCGTAGTCTTTAAACATCTGTTTATAAAAGAAAAAAAACACGCCATTGGAAAATGCTACACGAAAAAGCGATTGAAATAGATGATTTGGGTTTGATTTGATCCAAAGTGGTTAGCTTTGATGTGATTTTGCAAAATTTTAAATCATTTCAAAGGTGAAAAGAAAGTAGATTTGCAATCGTCGTACCACAGGATTTTCGGAAACAAATTTGGCGCAATTTCGTATCAGTCTTATTGCTTCCATACTCGTGTCCGGAAACTTGCGTTGCATGCGAATTCCGAGAGACACTTGACGGCATCTTGGAAAGAGTCGATGGTCGCGGAGAAATATTTCTCAAAAATCGTGGTTGAAAGAGAAAATGGGGGTGTGAAATTTATATACTGATAATCTTGTGGGATAAATGAATCTGTGAAAGCTTTAATTTACAAGTGACATTAAAACAGTAGAGAAACAGGGCTAGAAAAGTTTAAAAAACTATGCCTTTTGACACGTAATTTGCATCAACTAAAAACTGTTTCATACATTTATTTCATTTCTCCATTAACTCTCGTTTAATTTTCATTCATGCATCATGAGGCGAACATCCATCGACTTTATGGTAAATAAAAGTTTACCTTAAAAACTTATACGAATATGACTGAATTACCATGGAAAAGAACGAACACATAAAATTCTTGTTGTAAAATAAACGAAGTTGTCGGTCACATCCGAGAAACACATTTACTTAAACGATATTCAAATTCAATTTGAATTTAATTTAACAATATTTTACAGATGTCTAGGTAGTCCAAGATTGGAAACGGATTCACCATCATTTCTTCAAACATATGCAACCATTTTTATTTTAAAATTTTAAAATTTGCACCGATACAAGAACCTACCCAAGAGCACAACAGACAGGTCGGCAGTAAGATTAGAAGAAAAACCTCCTTCCTTAAACTTCAAACCTGTTGTTTGAAAAGCGAGTTCCACGCTTTCTTCATCATGATCGGACGCAGCCAAATGAAAAACGGAGAAAACATTTTTCCAACAAGATTTGATGTTTGCGGCTTGCGAGTGCACCATTTTTGTGACACATCGTACGACCATATCACGAATTGTGGAAGAACTAAAATATGAAAAATCCAGTTGTTGATTCAAGCAAATCGTAGACTGAAAATTGCAGTCCTTGTTGCCAAGCAAGTTCATAAAGATATCGAAGAAAGAATTTTAATCAAATCCTTCGAATTATAACGGACAAAACAGAGCGATTGATTGAAAGACTTCCTTTGTAAAATTCTTCGTAAAATTTCAACTTGGAAAAGAATCTGCAAAGTCTGCCACAAATTTTGTTTATTTGAGAGAAAGATTTTCAAGCTGCAAGAAACTTTACATTTTCTGACAGAATTGACTCCTGCATAAACTTACCTGTTTTTCTTCACTATGTATTCAAAGGTCGGAGAAAATCCTTTTGAAATCGGAAATTTGGCAATTCCCTTTTCAAGAATTTCATGGATAATTGTCGCAAAGAGTCGACACAGAAGAACGCAACTTCTTCATTAGGGTTACAACCACACTAAAATGGCACATAAATTATCTAAGATGGAGAAGTACTATAGTTGGTAGAACATTGGAGATGAAGGCATTGATTATCTTGTTTTATACTTGAGATATGAAAGAAACTAGAACTGTGTTTTAAAATATCATCATAGTTCACAGTTGATCTGATAGTTTAGTTGATAGAACATTGAAGACAATGATTATCTTGTTACTATACCTGAGTACATCATAACAACGTGATGTTTTATCCATAATATCAAGATACAATCTTAGTCGTTAATAATCGCTAACCTTGTTAAAATGATCTCCCAACACAGCCCATATTCGTGACCATTGCAGTCGAATACGACCCATATTGTAATAAGCAATCTCTACGATCTTCTGCAGACTAAACATACGTATCATTGTAGGATTGGAAAACTCAACTTCCGAGACTTGACGTAAACCTTCCACCACGAAATCGACTTAGGAGAAAAACGAAAACATTTTAAGATTTGGAAACAGAAGATAACGATACTTGGGATTTGAGAACTAGGGATTTGGATACTTGGGATTTGGTATTGGGAACAGGGGATTTGGGTACTAGAAATTTGGGTTCTTGGGATTTCGGGTATTGGAGATTTGGGTACTTGGGATAAAGAATGGTCAGTGAATTATGGTCAAGTTAGATGTATAAAAATCTTATTTAAGATGCAGTTTAATGTATACATGCAAACCTACCGATAGCATCACCATCCAGTTTCACTGATCCCGTGAAAACTCTAAACGTAATAAAACACAATGAAGAAGTTGAGATGAAGATATTCTGCTGAGAGAACATAACGTATGGACAGTGAAAGTGTTCTTCAAAATTTTATTTTCATGTTTATGTTCAAGGTTCTCTGGTTCACTTGAGCCTGAAGATGACTACCGCTAAGGATGTCAAAACGTTAGTCAACAATAACAATAACAGTCATTCTCAGGACTCTGCTAACATGGACAATGAACATGTCTACATAGAGAATCAACCATCGATATTTCTTGCTTTTACAAGCCCCACTCTAGCTTAAAGACAATTTTAAAGATTCCTGGGAGGGGGGCAGGGCCGAAGCTGGAACGTTGAATGGGAGGGGTGAATATTCATGTATTTAGTTTTGCCTGACTAATTTGGTTTAAAAGCTATTTTAAATTGAAAAGAAATTAGTTGGTCAAAGCGGAATATATGACCATTTATATGAATATTCACCTCTCCCCCTGCATTGACGTTCTAGCTTCGCCCCTGGGGTAGGAGATAGGTCACAAAACACAATCCACATAGATATCATTAAAGTAAACGTTACCTGTCAACTGCAACGACAAAACTTTGTGCAGCGGTCTCCCCAATGGCTTCCTGTGAGCCAGCCGCTTTTTTCGAGTCAGCGGAAACAGGCATCCGACCTTCATAGAAATACAAGCAAAGAAAAGCACCCAACGTTAGGATTTGACATTTTTCTATGAGCGTCACAACAATGTTAGAAGCAACCTGAGGTTATATTATAAGATGTCTTTGTTGTTTCCGGTGAATGCTGTAGGTGAATTAGTAACACCGCTGGACGCCGTGTGAAGGTATCGCGTTTTCACACCAGTACCGATAAGTTGAGCAAATTCAAGTTGGGAAATGCATTTCAGTATCTAGAATGAAAACAATGACTTTAGGGAAACGTAAAAAGATGCGCCGAGCGGAACAAGCATTTGAGCAACGAAAACGAGTGTTCAACAAGACGAACATAAACGTTAAATACATACGTAGAAAATATCTTCAAATAAAAAATATCTTGAGAAAAAACTTATTTTCTTATGCATAATTATTACTGATGTACATTTGTTATACGATTCTCTGATGAATGGTATGGAATACGGTCAACAAAGCACTTGGAAAAATGAAAGTTAAAGACTGTAGCAATATCGTGAAGTTTCCACTACAGACAAGACCTAGACTTTTTCTTTTGATGAAAAATAACAATCGATCATATTTTCAGTCGTAGACACCAACCATAATATATAGCAAGATGATTCTCTCTACCTCGAGCCAAGACTTCCCGATGTAATTACCATCCGTTTGAGCGATGGTAAGAAGTGTCTTCTTCGTTTTCATTTCATGAATATGCGTGCCACTGGTCGCAGTAAGTAAAATGGATCTGGATAGCGCTTGTACGAAAGCATCTCTTTCCAACTACAATGTGAAAAGAGTTATTAGGAGTATCGAAAAATGAGCTTAATGGTAAAGAATCTCCATTCATATTCCCTAACATCATTATAACTAACTGTAATCATCGAAAAACTTTTAAGAAAAGATTATTTCACATTCACATGCATCCTGATATATCCATATATGTACACAAACAGATAATTAATTCAAAGGTAAACAAACATCTGTTTTTATTGTATACATATTAGTATCATCTAAACCTTGAACATATAACACGCAAAGAACACGACGTGTATGTAACTACGTAAATATATTCATAAATTTCAACAATTCAACATTCAACATATTTTTGAACATATATTTATGTCCGGGAAAGGGTCACCAGGGGATGAAAAGGTATGCAGAGACATTAATCTCGTTATTTCATACCCAAATATATAAAAACGAACAGAATGTTGTGTGTTTACCAACTTACAGGCATGCTGAATATGCAAGATATTCGTATTGCACAGCGGATTCCATCAAGACAAAATGAAGCAACAGAAGGATCGTCGTTGTCTTGTAGATGGACGCTGAACGCGGCAAGAAACGGACTCCATGCAACCTTAAACACACAAAACAAAATGGTCAACAATGGGGACTGGGGCCGGTTGTAAGAAGCACATTTAGCTGAAGTAGGGATTATCTCAATAGAAAATCCAGTCAAATCATTCATTGGTCAGCTAAAATATTAGATTATCAAACAGATTTACTCTTAGTCATCGCAAACATTCATTACATAAAATATAAGTCTTTTCTTTAACAAGATTAAGATGAATGTCATCATGTTTTCAAATCTACGCCCCCGTACTTGGTGCTGTCCGTATAAGTTGACATCACAATTAACGCTTCGTTAATCAATCCTTAAATACACCACATACATTATCCTCCACCCCCCGTACCTTGAACATTGTCTTCACGTGACCAATCTGTGTCGCCGTGACAAAATCCGTCTGAATATGACTCACGTCTTCCATTTGTGTTTTGGTGTTTTCCGCCATCTGCTCCATTTCCATAGAAAACAACATACGACGATGTTTCTCACTTTGTAAATCTGTAAAGTGGAAACACAATAAAAATCTCTTTACTTTCATGAAAATGCATTGGAGCTCTCTTAAGATCAGCACCGAACATCACAATATCCATTATAAGCCCCTTTCCTACACCCATCTCAAGACCAACACCTCCATCTCAAGACCTTCACCTTCATCTCAGAGCTAGGACTCTACACTTCGCAGTCAAGACCTTTACCTAGCATCTGTACAATTTTTCAGTTAAGCCTTGATTCTCGTATTAATGTTCCAATACATACATGTAGCATCGTATCTACTGTTCACTTTTGGTGTATGTTTCATCTTGATTTCATTCTGTGCAATATCATCATAAATTGCTTCAAGATATTCAGATGGAAGATCTTTACTGTCATTTATACCACGATTCATTTGAATGTACTGCTCTTTCGTTATCTTCCGTTTAACCTGAAAGAAAATTTCACGTGATTACGATGTCGCATCTAAAGGCTAATTTTGCATTTGATTCCAATGAAGGCTCCATATCAACGCCATGAAAATCTCGCGTGACCACAATGGAGTCACGTGATCTTAGACATAAAGTCACTTTTATAGAAAACCATTGCAAATGAAGTAAGTCTGTGTAACCTGTGAACTATGTAGATCAGTAGTCAACATGATGATAGAATAAGCCAGAACGTAGGCAGCGTCTGCACTAGCAAACACATCGTCACTAAAATATAAATGATAAATATAAAATAAAAGTTTATCATAGACAGTCTAACCTAGCTATATCTAGACATGTTTGTACATGAATAAGGTTGTAGAAACGTCAGTCAACAACAACAACAACAGTCCTTCTCAGGACTCTACGAACCTGGACGATCTACATCTACAAACATGTAACAATACTCCCAGTTCAAACAACTCACTTTACATCTATCTAACAGCAAATTGCAGCCTCAAAACTCGAATAATAAAAGTTCGATGAGAAAATACTTAAAAAACCAAAATCGTCAAAACCTGTCCTAAATTATTGTTGATGTTAAATGACAAAAAATTAACACATGGTTCATAGACAAAAGTCATTTCGTAAGTTTCACGAACCAGCATGCAATGCGAGATGTAAAACAACAGATAACAAGACACAAATCATGTCCTTACTTTGGGTTCGTTTCACAGAACCTACTCGCAAACTTCTCCATGAGTCGATCGATCTTTTGCGCTTCACCGGGAAGCCGGAAGTTATGTAAGAACAATCGCAGAGCTTGCACAAGATTGGTACCAGTGAAATCCAACTGATCTATATAGGCGTACATTATCTCCCGTTCATATCTAAGAAGTATATGAACACATGAGGAACAGTTGAGGATATGACGAACAATAGATCTAAGTCTACTATTGTTTGCTTATTTTGAGCAGTAGCAAATCTTACTGAATTCTGTCAATATTATCCACTGGATAGAGAAATTTTGAGCATTTAAAAATTGTTTTGTTTTTTATGAACAAAAATAACAAAGAGATTTGAAGATAATGTTTAGTTTCAAACAGCTTTTGTCCTTTTACATGGAGTTTCATGCAACCTTAAACATATTTTAAACATTCTTGATTTTACGATTAAATTTTCTGATTTACTATTTCATGTATCATGAGCAAACCATCCATGGGCTTCATGGAAAATTAACATAATCAACTTTACTTGACTCAATTTATGTTGAAATAAATACTTAAGATGAGAATCAAACGTCTTAACGTGATTTTCACGTGATTGTCACGCGAGGGAGATGTGAAAAAACATACTTACTGTTCTGGATCACCAATCAGCTCACCAATCATAGTCTAAAACAATAAAACGCAATACTGGGTCAAAATCCAAAGCAATATTTAATGTTTCTACAAATTCCTTAAAGATAGCGTGCAAATGTGACAAAACGAAAACTTTAGTGAAAGAAAACAACATGTGAAATGAAACATAAGGATTGCAAGGGATATAGATGGTCTAAAATGATCATCACCTTGTCTAGTGTATCATCAGTGTGTAAGAACTGAGCGACTTTGGTTGCTGTCTCACCAAGGAGACCTTCAGATTGAAGGAATTTTATACCTTTTGATGGATTCTTGTTAAATCTTAAAGCAAATCGTAAAATTGAATAAAAGTACTGAAGATAAACAAATTGTTGATCGAACTTACAATTGAATTCCCTTTTCTTTTGTCTCCTTCTTCTGTTTAAGACTCTCAAATTCTTCAGCATGATCGATGGCTTTTGTACTATTGAGAGACAACTGACTACCTCCCGTTTTTTGAGATTGTAAATTACCGGGTCCCCCCTCCCCGCTTTCATTCTCCTCAGTGCTTCCTTTTCAAGAAATTGCTGGTGCACCATCAACAAGATCTGTCAGGAAATTTATATGGAAGAGATTAAACAGAAGTATTGAGGAATAACTATGATGATTAGGAGATCAATAAGGGATCCCGTGGATCATTAAGAGGTTAGCATAGATCATTAACATATAGCCTAGATCATCAGGAAGATAGTATAGATTATTGAGAGATAGACTAGAACATTGAGGGTAGCATGGATCAATAATGAGTAACTATAAACATTAAGATATAGCCTTGATCCACCGCGAGACCAGCAAGGGTAAAAAAGATAACTAAGGGATAACTTAGATCCTGAGAGGTTAACTACAATTGTCGAACAACTAGTTACGATTAAGAACATTAACGTGTGTATAAGAAAATAATGGAGTACCTTCGATAAATAGGGGATACAGAGTATAGAAAGATGGAATCTTGATGGAGACAAAAATCTTCAGTGTAGCTGATATCAAAAGAGGGGTACAATGGATCATAAAGCGATAACTTATCAAAATGTATAACAATATTAACTTTATATTCGCTACATAAAGATGTTAAAACTCACCAAAATTATCGTCCACCTGAGAATCAGGTTTAAAGTAAAGATCTCTGCTCCATTCTACCATACATTTAAGAATAGAAACGAGACATTCTAGACCTTTGATACGAATACTGCGTTCTTAAACCTGGAAAAATCATATAGAAATAAGACGACATTGATACTATTCAAATAAAAACGTGATAAAAAGATGTATTATAATAAACATTGTCAGCACAAAAGAATAGAGACATGTTCTAGTCTATTTCATGTTGATAGACTATGTTCTAGTCCTTTTCAAGTTGATAGACTATGTCCCAGTCCTTTTCATAATAATAGGCTACGTTCCAGTCCTTTTTGAGTGGCATAGATATGAACAAGAGAATCAGGGGCGTAACTAAACTTGAAGTAATGGGGGGTGTGGCGAAAATTTGCCCTGCAAAAGGGCGTTGCCCACAAAAACCCCTTAAATCATTATGGCTAGCAAATTATAATCATTTCTATTAATGCATACGTTGTTTATTAGTAAACATTATTGAAGTTTAGGTTTCTAACACATACATTATTACAAAACTTGTTTTTGAAATACAAACCTTAACCGTTTCGGACATAACAGTAAAACAATCTATATTTGTTCTCATATCAAGAGTCTTAAGTGAGAATCATCTCAACGTACTCTTAAGATGTTGCTTTTTACTTAAATTTTATTCTGATTTTACGGTTTTTTCTGGCTACCCAAGATTTTAGTACTACACCCAGATGAATTGTATCTGTTAAATCCTTCTCGGTTGAGAGGACAATGAGTTCTTCCAGCCTTTCACCTTTCATTGTTGAGCGCAAATAGTTCTTGTCAATTTTCATTTTGCTGAATGATCTTTCAATATCAGCCACACTTACTGGAGCAGTAAACAGAAGTTTGTAACATTTATAAACATTTGGGAAAATTTCTTTATTTTTGAAAGCAGTGTTTCCGGCGTCGTGGACTGTCTTACATTCTTTCTCTGTCTCATTTACAAAGTTAACAAAAATCTCAAGTTCTGCATACAGTGACATATAATCTACGCTTATTGATGGAGGAAAAAGTTCGGTGACCTTTTCAACTTGTTCAAAATTTGGTTTAGTCAGTGGAGGCTGAAGGATAAAAAGCTAAGGGTTTTATTTTTTGCAAACAACTTTTTATGTTATCTCTATATTCTCTGATGAGGGAATCGAGGACTTCAATCATGCATTTTCGATAGTTAGATTTCCTTGGCTCTTAGCCGTGTGGGAACGGATACATTGATAAACTAAACTACGCACATACTGTTTCCTTAACATGTTTTTGTGGTTTATGAGCATGACTCAACACAGTCTTTCTCGCCCAAATATACAAAACCGCATAGAATTTGATGAAATTATTGGATTGAAGCTCGCTTCACGGTTCTCGACAATGCAAAAAATTAGCATTAGCATGTTTTTACATTTGCAATCATTGTATGTTAGATATTGTGATGTAGCCATCTATCTTCTTTAGTATATATTGACTTACACCAACAAATAGAGATATTACAGATAACTATGCAGCGACCATCGCGACATTTACCGTGGCGTCTATTGAACATGTCGAAGATTTCTGTTTGTTACAGACACAGACATCACATTTGGGCCTTTATTATAGCTACTAATATATGAATATTTACTCAGTACAAACTACTATGTGGAGAAAAGAGAACAAGCCAGTTAAAACACGCCAACATGATCATAGCCCATTACGCGTATATCGTGGACAATCTTATTCTGTGCATTTAGGTTGTGCATTAGGGTTCCAGTTTGTAGATCCTATTGTCCCTATTTGATAAGTTGTATAAAAACTGAAAGATTCCAGTGTGAATTCACTATATATTGCCTTCGTTTTCCAAGGTATAATCTATAAAAATCGTATGATGCATATGACAGGGAATATGATATGCATTTAGGAAGTTAAAATGTATCTATTGGCCAATCAGTGTAAAGCGACTGAAGCGACCAATGTCAAAAGTTCAACATGTTGAACTTTCAAAGCGACTAGCTGACGTGACTACGCTACAAGCTTAGTAACCACGCTGTTTCAGCCTGTAGAAATAAGCCAAAATTGTCAAAAATGAAAGTTTGTTATTTCCACTTAGTAATCATTTAGTTGTTTTCGATGGTATGGCAATTTTTCTACTTCCTGAACACTGCCCTGCCACTTGACGGCAATATGCCCTGCAAAAACACTGTTTACAGCAATTGGGGGGTGTCACACCCCCCACACCCCCCCAACAGCTACGCCCCTGAAGAGAATGTAGAGAAGTAAACATTATGAAACATATTCATCAACTTACTGGTGTCGCTCCTAATTCAATAGCTTGACGTCCTTGGGCAACTTTAGACAAATCATTGATCAATCTATGAAAGATATTCGACAAAGCCAATTCACAGTCGTAATTTAAATATAAATCAACGACCGTCTGTGCGTCTGCAATAAAGGACACGAATGGACATTAATGGCTAATATGAATGGATATTAATGGATGACAGGAAGATAAAATCAAAAATTTAACTTTTGGTATATTGATAATTAGTAAGGGAAAGGTCACACCTCACCTCTTGCACACCCACGAAGAAAATTCGAACGAGAGAATTGTGAAGACTGAATATAGAATGGGATTTGGAAATAAAAGATGCTTAATTGTTGTACAGGGTTAAGCAAACAGAGGAGACATTTGGTAGAACTGGAGACAATGTCAGTGCAAGCTTTACACCGAAAGTTGACGGTTTGCACCAGCTAGAGAGTTCTCACAAAAGTCTCAAGGTTTGCATAAGCCAGTGCAAACACAAAAAACATCTTTTAGTTCTTTTGTAAATAATAGTAATGCGAAACAGATAAATTTAAGAAAAAAGTTAAAAATTTTTTCTCTAACATGTATTCATGATTCATTTGCAAATTATCTTTGATTGATATAATTGATGTAGCTCAGATACGCACGTTTGTACAGGCTAATGCAAACACAGTTTAAGTTTTATTAAGTAAATAGTGATGACGGATGAATAGCTTTAGAACATTGAGTTTTGATGTCGTTAAACATTCACGGTGTACATTAAAAACACAATTGATTTTATTAAACTTTCTGATGATCAGTGAAAGACTCTCAATGAAAACAAAAGGTTTCCAAAGAAATAAATGATCATAAAGTTCCGAAATTTTCATAGCGTGACTAAACATGAGAACTGACTACGCTACTTAACACAATCGCTTTTATAGAAAATTGATCGATGGTATTTCAAATATTAGTTGTTTATATAAATACCTTGGTAGAAGCGTTCAAACTTTGGAGGTACTTGTCTTCTTTGGCATAAGAGAAAACTTTAAGCAAAGTGCAAATGATTAAAAATGGTTTATTACATTGAAACAAGAAGGAAAACTTTCTCCCTCAAATAAAAATGCAAATAACAAATTAGAAACAGGAAACATTGATTTACCGTACTTCATGTAAGAAAAGATATAATATCTTTTAACAAAGGCTCCTTTGAGAGGTATAGGCTTCCCTGCACTTGGTTAAATTAATTTCTCATTTGGCATTTTCTGTTTTTTGTTAAGTACTTTCAGTAATATATGTTAGTTAAGTTGTTAGGGTTACAAACGTCGGTATCTTTGGTTAAAATGGTTGAACGAGCATGCAGATTTTGTTCGAAAGGTCTTCTTTGATTTTGGTAAAACCTTTGATTCAGTTTCAAATAACGTCGTAGTTTAAAATTTTTCTTTTCCAATCTGACGCGTGTTACTTGGTGTCTCTTGCTTTTTTGTTGATCGCATAAGTTTTTATGCTTCGTGCAATTACTTGGCGACATTTTTTTCTCTTAGAAATTCAATCATCACTTTTTAAAATAGACTATTGTGTTGTATTAAAAGTCAGTTGATATCGTTAAATGCAAAAAACACAATTAAATTGACTAAAATCTATCAACTTTATAGGCATTTACTCCAAACTGTTACCTCTTGAAACCAAATGAAGATATCTTGATGAGCAAATCTGGTATATAGTGTAAACGCAGCCAAAGCCTTAAATTTTGTCAAATGAAGCCTCAATGTAATATGATCATGCACTTAAGAAATAAAAGATGTTTCATGTTTTTGCACAGGCTTATGCAAACCGAGGAGAACTTTGGGAGAACTCAAAAGCAGATCAGTGCAAGCCGGAGACGGAAGGTTGAGAGTTGCACCTGCTTGAGAGGTTGCCCAAATTTTATTTCTCTGTCCTTAGTTATCTCTCCCCTTTTGTAAAGTAAGAAAAACTTAAGAACTTAAGATTTTATAATTTCAAAGTAGAGAAGAACTTGTCAACACATTTGTCATCAATTCATATCAATATTTTACTGTATATAATCTACTTATATTTAAATAAACTATCACTGTATCACATTACTACCGTATATGGTGTATATACATATACACAGTATTGTCACTAATACTGAAGATGACATCACGAGATGTTGAAACATGTTTATTTTGAAAAACTCCAATGTTTACCTTAGTCATCTAAAGATAACAAAATGTACGCTACACGTACCTGTTTTTATAAGATGCCTCAAACTTCGAACATGAAAAATCTGTTACATTAAAGTGTTTAAAGCACCTGGATCTTCAAATTATCAGTAAAACGTTTTATGTTGTGTACAATTGTTAAAAGTTAAAACTATAGCCATATATTGTACGTTGTATTATCATCAACTTTATAATGATAAATTTTATTTTAAAAAATGAAATTAGAAAGTGAAACCTATCATTCTTCAATATTTTAATCCAAAAAATTTTACTCAAAAAAATTCAATTCTTCAGTTCAAATGAACTTATGTCAAAATCGGGAAAGTTTTACTCAATAATTTTTATCATAGTTATTGACATGACGTCATGATGTTTTTACATACGGGAATTGTTGACAGTATATAACATTTTCTGTCTTTAAGGTCATATGTACATAATAAACGTACAAAAATGATCTCTCACATTTTTCAACTAATGACCATAAAACCCAAAGACATGACATGACATTATGATGGTGTTTTATAAATGTGAAATTTTAACATCATACAAAACTTGTTTTCACGATATTAACATGCGTAAGGTAAATTTTATTCACAGTTTTTGAAAGAATGTTCAAAGAAAGTCACTCTATAATTTAAACAAAATAATCTTCATCTACAACAACACCATATTGTCAAACGACTCACATTGAATGAGTTGTCGACATTCTTTCATTTCTATGTAGTGAACGTTTAATATATAATAAAAATAACCAAATTATCTGACCATACATTTGTATTAAAAAGTAAACCATCAACATAAAGTTCGTCCAGAGATTAAAGGTTTTTCACTTTTAGTAATTTTCACATGTAAAACAAGCGACCATCCTTACGACAATCAAAATCTTCGTGTGATATTTGATAGATTCCATTCTCCAAAGCATAGTTAATCATAGCAGTGTTCATCTGATCTTCAAAAATGTTCATCGACTTGATGTGTTCAAGCACTTTCTCACAAGCATACCATAACAACTTATGACCATTTTTTGGATCAACTGTAAACTCATGCTCTTCATAACCATCTGATTTTAACCAATCAATGAGAGACTTGTGATACACGGTCAAATAGTCATCTTAATTTGGAAAAAATTGAGATAGCACTTTATGTATTTTAATACGATCTTTAAACTTCATGTCATCAGGAAAACCTAAACATTGAAAAGAAAAGACAAAGGCAAAGTACTTTGATAAGTCACCAACACTGCAAGACATTCCGTAAAGTTTTATCGGAAATAACGGTTTTGTGTGTTGATAAAATTGTTTCTTTCAATAATTTATTTAATCTCTTGAATTGTTCTGTGTAAAATTTACTCAACCCAGTAGGAACCAATTGTTTAATATTCTCGACAGTTAGCTCCGTTTTTTCTTTTTTTTAACTCTTTTGTGCGTGGTAAGCGTACAGAAACGAACCCTTGCATTTTTCAATCAATAGAAATAGAGCGTAGCGATATCCTTGCACCCGATTATTCAAAATGTACTCAACCCATTCAAAACCAGAACCGTCAAAATTAAACGTCATTTGACGAATAATTTAACAAACAATTGCTGATCTGATGTTCATATTTACCCATGCTATGTAACTGTGTTCCTGACTGCGAGAATAATAGTTTTTTATTTGAAATTTACTGAAAAGGATTAAAATTTACACATTTCATTATGGCATTAAAATTTCTAAAGACAAGTCATGCACTAAGCATGAAATTTGACTTTATGACATACATACAAAGGTTAATCTTATTTGATCGCTATACACACATCACGAAGAACAACAGGCTTATTTACGTACCTTATAAGATGTAGAACACCTCATTTTTATCCTCAAACTCTCAGAGATTCATCCTATTTGTGCCTGCTAGGTAAATTCTTTGATAATAACGCGTTCACCAACTACCTTATTGTCAAATGATTCGTGTGATGGTACATTATTGGAATTTTCTTTGTGGTGCAAGGATGCGTTTCAAAATAAGTGGCCTGGGACGGAGAGGAAAGAAGCGCTTTTATGAATTGCAGAAGAGTTTCGCAAGAAGCCGCTCAAAATATTTCGATTTCCAAATTAGTGGACTCAAATGGAAGTTACTTCTGAGAGAGTGATTTGTTTCAAAGGATTCTTATTTCTAATAGTTGTTTTTAGCATTGGCTAAATTT